GGTCCCTCCCCCCTGCCGGTGCTCTCTGCGTGTCTTAGTAATGAAGAAACCATCATTATACGTAACGCGAAAACTGAAGAAAAGAGAGATGTGTGGAGCAGAGGGGGAGACGCGCCAAGACGGAGTGACAGAGAAGGAGTCTAATCTTACTTCTGCGTCTTTTTCTTCCTTTATTTTTAATTTATTTTACTTTTTTACTTTTTATTTTTCAATGTAACTCGGATTGCTGACGAACCATCTCAGGACGACTCATAATTTACCACCCTCCCGTCGAGCCCCAACCTTCCCTCATTCACTCTCATTTAAGTCATCCTCGACTAAAAGGAAAAGGAAGCAGAAAGTAAACCCCTTCGTGACTCACACTTTTTTTTTATCTTCTCTCTCTTTCTTTCTTTCTCTCTCTTTTCATTCTCTTTAAGAACGCGGGATCAATATTCTAATTTCAGTCTTAAAACATTTATTTTGTTTTAATTTCTTCAGTCCTCCGTATATTGTTTTTATGTTAATAATTTAATCGCTCCCTCCATTCGCGACTATTGACAGGTCCCCTTTTAGTCTAAGCCTTTTTTCCATTTTTTTTCTTTTACCAAGAGCCATTTTTAGCCCATTTTTTACGCGAACTCTGTAGTTTCTCCGGGTGAAAAAAATAATGAAAAATTAAAAAAACAATTAAAAACAGTACTTCGAAACATCAAATTCAATGTTAGAACCTTCGCTACCGTTTTAGGATAAGTGAGTGTTTGATTTTTAGAGAATTTTTGAGGATATTTCGTTCATGAGACTTTTTAATAGTAGCACTGAATAGTTTAAAATTAGCAAAAAGAGCGATCAAATGAAAGACATTAAAACGGTTAAATGAGTGCGGACAACTTATACGTTTACACAATCACACAGCTACTATTGTGGTCGAATTGTATCGATGGAAACAGCAGTTGAGACATTTTGAAATGAGAACAAATTATTTATGGCTCATCTATAAAATCACCCATCTGCATAGAGTAATAATTTATAGAATGTTTCCAGAATGAGCTATTGCAAAATGTGGTCCATTCGAAAGCATTACTTCCAGATTGTATTCGATTCTCTATGAAAGGAGATACCGTTGTGCACGAAAATAAAATATTCTTGAGAGTGATTTTTGTCGAAAATTTGCGGTGATCGTTCAATTTTGTGCTGATATAATGAACAAAGGGAAGCTATTCGACAAATCTGAGCACCGAACCTGGTACATTTAATACTTTAATAACATATTCTCCGGGCTGCAAGCCGTCATAAATTCTGTTCGGTTTGACATTGAAGGATTTTTTGCGGCAGAATAACAACGAAACACTCCTCTTGATTGAGGGGTTGAAGAGGAAAATTCAAGAGCCTCCCTGAACATTCAGAACAGGAAAAAATAAGGTAACCACCCGAAACTTTCAGACCTAATAAATGATCAAACACCATTCGAAGCGATGCGCAATCCGGAACATCGCAAACCGAGATACGCGGTTTCTCATTCAAGATGCGCTCATCCTCAAAGATCATCGAAGTCTGAAATGATGTGTCAGATCAACGCACGGTGGAGACATCATCAGAGCATTAGTCACCGTTCCGACAGAGTGACAAGTCGCTTTTCAACCCGTCGTCGGAGAAAACCACTCAACTCCTCCAAGAAACAACGAGCAGATACGCGGTTTTACCGGACGCACACGGCACACACACTCGTCTACCCCGGGAGCCGCGGCCGGGCGGGAGGGGTAGGGGGGAGAGGTGTGCATGCGGAGCGACTGACCGAGTTATCCACATGACTCACCCTCCGTTTAACCCCTAATGAATCAAAGCGTTGATAGTGGCGATGCCGTCTCGCCAGAACCGCGTATCTACGTTGAGTTTGCGTTTGAGTTAAGCGTTTTTTCCTCGGCTCTATTCGCCCCGCTCTCGCCGTCCCTTCCTCCGCGGGCTGTTTACATAGCCTTTCGGCTCGCGTTTTTTGACTCGGCGCGCCTTGGTAGCACGCACTGGTCTCATGTCTTAAAACCGCGTAACTCCTGTGCTGGGATAGTTGGTGGATAGGTGGTTTTGCCGAGGGTGGCTGCCGCGGTGCCACGGTAACAATGCTAATTACCCGTCGTCGGCTCTGGTCTGCCAGCTGTGGGTAGTTTTTTAAACGTTCGACTAATTCACCAACAGTGCAGTTCCTGCGGATTCGTGTTTTCGTACCCTTTCGCACGAATGTGGCAAGTAGCAAAATTTTAAAAGGGGAAGGGTATATCTTCATCTAGTAAAATTTACTGATGCCAAGGTATAAAAGTTCTTCAAGTTCTACTGGAGCCCTGGTAAAAATTGGCAGTAGAATCTGTGTTTCAAAACACTATGGACGTACAGCCGGCTGTAAGATTTCCAATAGCTTCTATAGCCGGCTACACAATTTCTTATAGCCTTTTTTAGCCGATGGCGATTAAGCAACAGCCAGGCGATAAAGTGTATGCTAAATGTTACTAAATTACGGATGCAGGACTTCGTGAGTTTTTAGAATACTACTCTCTTTTTGGGCCGTAGTATCTTGATTTATTTTGCGAGGAAAGCTCCGTACTTTTGATGTATGCCTACCATTACTAATATATTAGAGCGCCTTCAGTTTCGTATGATACTGTGCAATACCTCTGGTGTGAAATAGTTGCTTCAAGCGCCGTGGCAGGCGGGCAGCCAGCGCGAGTCACGCATTGGCGCCTACAAACCTAACAGGGATACTTCACGCGTTGCGCAATGCGTGAAGTATCCCTGTTAGGTTTGTAGGCGCTAGTGCGTCGCCGCTCCGCTTTGTGTTAGGCTCTAATATTTAATCTGGCGGAGTCAGCGTTATTCAACTCACGACTTTGAAATGTTTGCACATCCTGTACGGATTATTCTCATTTTAATTTATGAAAAAAATTATGTATTAAAGGAAAATATAATGTGTGTTTTGTAAATATTAAGGTGGTTCCGTATCAAACTTAATGATTTCCAAAGCACACGAATTTCTACACAATATCTTATAGCCTTTTATAATCGATGGCGAAAAAGCAACAGCCAGGCGATAAAGTGTAAAGCCCGGCGATAGGAACTATAGCCCGGCTGCATAATTTTTTATCGCTTCGTATAGCCCGGCCGTATGATTTTCTCCGCATTCTACATCCAGCTATATGATTTTCTGTAGCCTTCTTTAGCCGGCCATAAGAATTCCTATGGTATTTTGAAACGCAGCTCTTATCGCCAGTTTTTACCAGGAAGGGATTGTCAAAATTTTTGTTTTGTTTGGAGCCTTGGACTGAGAGTGACTCTTATGTATGTATGTCTTAGACTTCCCTCTGGCTTTAGACGAGAGAATTTATGCCCGAAACTTTTAAATTTTCAAAAAAAAAAAAAAAAAAAAAAAAAAAAAAAAAAAAAAAAAAAAAAAAAATCATCCACAGGGCCAGATGAAGCCAGAGGGGAGGGCCGGCGGATGAGACAATCTGTCAGTGAAACTTTTGGCTTGAGTACAAAGTTCGTTTTAGCATACAGCATTCGAAGTTTACATCATTTACCATTGAGAAATTCTATTATTTTTAAGTTTCTTGGTTGAAAAGCAACTTTGGTTGATCCTTTAATATTTTCTGAGATATCGTATCATAACCTGGTTTTTGTTCTTTAGCAAATGAAAAGGGACAACTAAAGTTGTTTTTCAACCAAGAAACTTCAAAATAATAGAATTTTCAATGGTAAAACATCTAATTTTTGAAACGTTGAATTGCCGGAACAAGCTTTCACTGAAAAAAATAATTTGCTGTTTTAGCATCTAGGGTGTCAAAAATGTGTCTGGTGAACCTAAGATGCTGTCTTTACTGCCCCCGCAGTTAACTTTACATCCTGTGAATGTAAATTCAATTGAGTGGGCAATTAAGGCAGCATCTTGGGATCACCAGACACATTTTTGACATCCTAGGTGCTGAAACAGCATACCATTTTTTTCGGTGTTGAACTCAAGCTGAACCATATTTTGGCGGATTGTCTCATCATGAGGTATCGTTTAGGCCTTATCTTACTTTATATGAATGATTTAGGAGTAAATTGTATAACGCATAACGCTTGAGGCGCGGATCGTCTTAAGGGGTTTGGACCGCGGAGCGTGCAGGGATCGCCTAGTTTGAAACGAATTCAGGAGTTCAAACAAAAGGAAGGTTTTTTCACGCTTTTTTGCCGCTTACAGGCGCATAGGACTGCGCGCAACGAACGGAATCCAGAGTATATCGTCGTATGAACCGAGAAAACATTTTAAACCCCAGTCAGAAGGGAAGGGCATGCATCCGTCTTGAAAACGGAGGGAGATAGTTCCCGGCGAGAACTTAGAAGGTTAAAATTTAGGGTTTACGGTAACTCGTTTTCCAATTGCAGAGGGCAAGTTACTTTGACAGGAACCGCAGAGGAAGCCGCCAAATCTTCCGCACTTTCGGAGGGGACCCCAGGATCCGGAGTCAGGAATCCGGGACGTGCTTCAGGTTACGTCTCAATACTTATACTTTCCGGCCATTTGCGGTCACTCAGGG